ATGGAATGGCTGCAAACAAGTGGAATCATTACAACCTCGTATTTTAAAGTCTGCTGACTGTGACAGAGCCGAATCTGTATAGTAACTCAAAAGCTAGGTACGATAAATCCTAGTGAAGTCAACTTATGAGCTGAGTGCCAACGTGCTTAACTGCCATCTTTGAGGCCCTGGGTTCAATTCCTAACACACACACACAGTGTCAAGTTAAGAAGAATCCTGAAAACTGGCAAAGAGGATAAAGCATTTAATTTGCCTGGGAAAAATTTTCGTTTTAGTCAGGCACTGGTGGTTTATACTTACAATCCTAGCTACTTGGGAGTCAGAGACCAGAGAGATTAGGAGGATTGAGGTCTGAGGCCAGCTCAGGCAACAAAAGTGAGACCCTATCTCAAAAATACCCAACATGCAGAGCTGGTGGAGTAGCTCAAGTGACAGAGCGCCTCCATACAAGGCCTTGAGTTCAAAACAACAAAAAAAAAAGGAAAAGAAAAATTTGGTTTTAGGTAACACTACTTTCTAAAACCTAAAGTGATTTTAACTTAAAAAAAAAAAAAAAAAAAAACCCATAGCCGGGTGCCAGAGGTTCAAGCCTATAATCCTAGCTACTCACTCCTCAGGAGACAGAGATTAGAAGGATGGAGGTTCAAAGCCAGCCCCAGGCAAATAGTTCAAAAGACCTATGGGTTCCCCCATCACAAAAAAGACCTTGTGGGGTGGTTCAAGGTGTAGGCCCTGAGTTCAAGCCCCAGTACTGCCAAAAAAAAAAAGGCCGTAATTTCCCCCTTTTCCCAAGAAAACTACCCTATAATTTTCCTTTTCTTATGAAATTTACAAAAAGAACAACAAAAAGACTAAAAATTCTGGTCCACTGGGGTGTCTACAATAAATAGTGAAAACAAGTAGAAAAAAAGATGGCTAAAAAGTTTGCACAGCATTATTGAATTAGTTACATTAAGCTTAGGTTGGGGTTTGTTTTTTTTTTTTGGTGGTACTGGGATTTGTACTCAAGGCTTTAGGCTTGTTAGACAGGCACTCTATCACCTGAGCCACACCTCCAGCAATTAAAAATTTTAGCTCTGGTTATTTCTGAGATCAGGTCTAGTTGGGATGACAGGCATGCACCACCACGTGCACCTTTTCTCCATTCAGATGGGGACTTTGTTTTCCAGGCTGGCCTCAAACCATGATCCTCCTGATCTCAGCCTCCCAAGTAGCTAGGATTACAAGAATGAACTAAAAGCGCCTAGCATTTAATTGGTTTTTTTTTTTTTTAAGGGAATTACGTATTTTTTTAAAAAATTCTTTCCTAGTCACAAGAATGAGTATTTTATTCTGTTTGAAGACAGTACTGCCAGTAAGATTGGGACAAAGGGTTTTTTTTTCTTTTTTCCATCAGAAACCAGTTCCCCATCCAAAAGCAACAGTTGACATCTCATTTGTTCACAGTGGGGTTCTACTCCACTCCAACAATCCAAAACTTGTGGCTCCCCCCGACCCTCACGCTTTGCTGAATCTTCCTATCTCTGCACTGCACTTGACTACTTTCCTTCAACTCAGAACTCCGAATCATTATCAAATCAACTGCTCAAAGGACATCTATAATGAAAACATTTATCTGTTCAATACAACACAGAGGCATTTTCTTTTCTGTTCATTGTTGAGGCAGGGCCTTGCCATGTAGCCCAACTTGGACTTGAACTGGAAATTCTCCTGCCAAGTATTAGAGATTACAGATATGCAGCACACCTGGCTTTGAAGCATTTTCAATGACACTACAAATCATATTCTTTGGTGACAAAAATCACAAGTCACTCCTTTCCATATGCATTCACAAAGTAAATGCATCAAGGAAACCTCTCAACACCAGTATTTTGCTGAGGTTTCTGAATGAGAAATGATGTAAAATCACTAACATGTTTCAGCCAGTAATTCTGATTAAGTTCAGTGTTTGGAAGACTTTTTACCCAAAAGCAGTTATGTAAAGCATAAAATTGGCAAAGCTGATATGGAACAAAAATTGGCAAGTTGATGGGACTTCAGATCAGTATGAAACCAGGGCACTTGGCCCTGCACTGGTGAGCTCAGGTAGCAGCAAATTTGGTTCCTAAGAACTTATGTTTACCCACCACAGCACACAAACATCCTATGATCTCTAACGTGCTACAGTTAAACACCAGTCAGATTATTTAAGGACTGGTTGTGTTTGTTTTTAATACCCAAATGTGCAGTTAAAAGACTTCACTATAAACAGCACAGGCTGAGGCCAGGGGCTGTGATCCAGGGAGCCTGCAGAGTGCTGGTAATGTTGTATTTCGTGCTTGGAATGGTGGTTACTAGAATTTGCATTTTAAGGCCACTTTAATAGACGTATGCTACAGGAGATACAGACGAGGGAAACAAGTACCTCACCCAAGGCAGCACTGCAGACACTTTAGGGCAGTCACTATGCAAGCAGCGCCTGCGACTACACAATGCATTCAAGCCAGCATGGGGTAGCTTTGTTGGAACCAAAATACTTTGCTGTAAGGTCAGAAGGGTTCAAGAAGCTTTTAAAAGATCTAGACTTTTCTGAAAAACTCTGGTCCAGGTAAGTTTTGTAACTCTACAAAGGGCCTAACACCCTGCTTGTGAAACGTGGAGCACAACCACACTTGTAATTGGAACACAGCACATAGCCGTCACCAGCAAACGGCTTGAGCAAAGTTGAAGGAAAAAAAACCAGAAAAACCCAAAACACACATGTCCAGCCACGCAAAATGTCGATGTACCCATTTGGCCTTCTCAGGCAGGCACTGACTGAAGAAGCCAATCCCCATCGGGGGTGTGGGGACCGTGGTATCTGTCCTCTCTTCTAGGAGCACTTCTGGCGGCCTGGCATCAGAGCCAACCTTTACCTGTTTACTGACCACAGTTGGCCAGACTGCTTCAATTGTCCTTCAGCTGCTGGAGTCTTTCCAAAGCCAAATTCTGAGTTTTCCTGTTCCCCTCTCACTTTCTCCCAATGCCTCTAGGGTCTCCAGAGGCCGAATCGCTGCAGATACCCGTGCCCGCGGGCCAGGGTACCATCTGCAGGCGAGGCCCAATCCGGGCGGCGAGGATGGCGTCCAGCCCCCGTTCTGCAGCAAACACCTCCCCCCCCCCGCCCCAATCCCCGGGCTTTCTTTCAATCCCGCGCCCTTCCCCTGGCCTCCGCGGGTGCACGCAATAAACAAGCCTAACGCGAGCAGCCATGCAGGCCGGGGGCTGCCTCCCGGGCCCAGGCGGCCTGAGCGCTCTCTCTGGTCGGGATTTCCACTCTCCCGATCCGGGCCAGCCTTGTTATACAACCCATCTCCCTCGGCGTTGGCTGGAACGGGGCCTGGGAGCTTTACGGGGAGGGAAGGAGATGAGGTGCACACGTAACGATAAAACCCAAGCAGCCCAAGTTGGGCAGAAGATCGGGGGCGGGGGGAGAACCTTTGAAGGTGGGGGCGCATTCCAGCTATAAGGCCAGGCGGACCCAAGTGGAAACCTAACGCCCCCCCCCTCCCCGGACGCCCCCGCCAACCCGACCTGGAACACGACCAGGCTCCCGATTCCAGGCGGACCCACGAATCCCCGAAGCCTTTTTTGTTTATTTATTTGCTTTCCTCCCCCCCCGACCCCCCGCCCCGCTTTCCGCGAGCAAACATCGCCCTCGGACTTAGCCGCCTCCTAAACATGGAACGCGGGACGGGGAATCTCTGGAGCAGCGGGTCCTCGGGTTCTCAAGCCGCAGTCCCCCCGGGCTCCCCCTCTGCTTTCGGGGTGACGGGCTCGAGGCCCCGCGGCATCTCCCCACCCCCCCCACCCCCCACCCCGCCTTTCACGCGAGGCCACAGGCCCCGCCCACGTGGCGAGCGGCCCCGAGCGCGGGGACCGACGACCGCAACACAATGGAGGCCAAGGCGGGCCCCGCGCGCCCCCGCCGCCGCCGCCGCGAGCCCCCCGCGCGCCGGAAGGTTCCAGAACCGGCCCGCCCGGTGGGGGGGAGGGGAAAGGGAGACGCGGGCTTCGACTTCCCCCTCCCCCCCCACCCCTCCGAGCTCATTCCGCCGCGGCGGCGGGTACCTCCAAAACTCCCTCCACAACTCCACTCGATCATCCCGGCCCTCCCCCAGAGACGAGTGACCCCTAGTTTGGGCGTCCCGGACATCGCCGGCGTGACCGAGGTTCCACCACACTCACCCGTGGACGCCATTTTCTCTCCTTCCTCCTCGTTCTCTCAACGTCCGTCTCCCTCTCGCTTTCCCTCTAGGCGTCGCACTGCGCAGGCGCGAAAGCCGCAACCTCGGGCGCTACCATCCGGTCAGGCCACGGGGGGTGGGGAATGAGGGATGAACCACCGCTTTCTCGTTCTTCACACCCCAAACCGTTGTCCCAATCCTTTCTAAAGAGTGCCACACATGAAGCGCGGAATAAAAATGACATCGAAGGGACCGGCGTGCTCGGTGGGCGGGTGTCAGAACCAAACCGGAGCGATTTTTTGCACGAGGCCTGGCTGTTTAGAATGGTTACGTCCGCTGGCTCTAGGGACCGTCTCTAAAGAGTCAGCCTGGAGGGAAACGGAGGCCGGCGGGAGGGCTGGGGAGCGGGGAGGGGGGGGCGGGGAAGGGATCCGGGCCTAGAACAACTGCTGACTAATCGGCGGGCGGCGGGGGATGGGGTGGCGCGCCGGCCGCTCGGGGTCACGAGCCTGGATGTGCGTGCAGTGGGTTTAGGGATCCCAGGTCTTGGGCGGGAGCTAGAGGCCGGCCTCCCGGCCGAGGCCCCCCGCCCGGCCCTCCGGGGTGGGGAGCGTGCTCCGCAGTGAGTACCTGGGACGCGTGGCCCGGGCCGGCGCTCTGGGCGGGAGGTCCCCAACGTCGTGCTCGGTCCCGAGAGCCCCAACCCACACCCCTCCCATCCCAGTAACGGTCGGGGTTGTGATTGCCCTTTAATCATTTCATACCCTTGTTTTCACAGAAGGGGAAACTGAGGCCCGAGAAAATTGAGTCCTTTTCCCAAAGTCACAAAAGCCGAGTTCGAGTCCCCACTCTGTCCACCACCCGGAAGAATCAACCCTGTCCCTGACTTCCCATTCGGTCCTCCAGGCTTCCCAGCAAGGTAGGCAGGATCTGATGGCGCTAACTCCCATTTCCTTCATTGAAGAAATTCAAGTCTTGCTTCTGTGTGTCCACGGGCAAGTCCTTCACCTTTGCCAAGGTGCCCAGGGGCAGAATGACTGTGAGGGTGCAAAAAGAAAAAAGCTTCCACCATCAACCAGTGCCTTGGCCCCGGATCTGGCCTCCAGGCAAGGCTGGCACCTGAACCTCAGCCCAATCTCAAAGAAAGGCAGGGTTCACCCCAAATCCCTGAGCAGGACCTGGAGCCAAGTTTTAGTGTCTTTCTTTCAGTGAACACATACAAAACACTGGCTGTGTGCTGGGAGTACCCTGGTGAACTTGGGGATAAGAGACTCCTGCTTCCCCTATAAGGCCCCCTGCTTGGGGAGCCCCCTAAAGCTGTGCTTATAAGATAGGGTAAGATTCATGATTGTGGGAAGGAAATGGGCAGGGGACATTGAGCAGGGTTTCAAAGGGTGAGTAGGAGTTTGCTTGGTGGTGAGATGGAGGGAAGAACATTGGAAGTTTCCACTTTTTTTTTTTTTTTTCTACAGAAAAGTGGCAGATGCAGAAGCAAGAAAGCCAACTAGGCAGACTTGTCTCTCTGGGACCCCGCTTTCTGGCCTGAATCGGCTCAGTAACAGTCTTGATACAAGGAGGCCTGGCCAGGGGTAAGGGGGCCCAGCAGGGCCTGGAGGACAGGCTGGGTGTGAGGGATAGCAGGAAGGGGAAAAGCCAGAACTTGGACCAGCTAGGTTGGGGCAGCTGCCTCCCGTGTGAGGTCTTCTCTTGGGCCACAGGTAGTGAGTTGGCTCTGTTTTGGGGGTACCAGGGTTTGAGCTCAGGTCCTACACCTTGAGCCACTCCACCAGCCTTCTTTTTGTGATAGAATCTTTCAAGATAGGGTCTCGGGAACTCTTTGCCAGGGGCTGGCTTTGAACGGTGATCCACCTGATCTCTGCCTCCCTGGCTGATGCCACCCATCAGATGCCTCTTCAGGGCTCAGCAGCCCTCAAGATTCTTCCTGTCCCACACATGGGATGGGAAGATGTCTAGTGAGCACATGGGTTGGGGTCTGGACCCCACCCTAGCTAAGCTGCCTTTACAGCCTCAGTTTCTAAAATGGGGCCGTTGGTTGGGCAGTTGAGAAGGCACCAGATAAAAGCTGCAGTAATAACTTGTTACTGTTTTCCTTTATCCCCTCCCCCAGCCCCCAACACAAAGCCCCAGGACCACTGCTGGCCATCCTCAACCAAGCTATGCATGCCAGGGACCCCACTGGTCCACTGTCCCCAGCGCTGCCTCTCGCCTCCTCAGTCCTGATGCTTTTGCTGAGCAGTCTGTGGCTGGTAGGGGCTGGCCCCAGCCTGGCCCTGGCCCCGGAGCTGCTCTTGGACCCCTGGCAGGGTGAGGCCTCATGGACTTTTGAGGAAACTGGAGATTTGTCAAAGGGCCCCAGAGTAACTTGCAACCTGCAATGGTCAAGCAGGGATAGGACCCTGGGCCCTGGGAGTGTGCTCAGCTCATCCACAGCCAAGGAGGACAGAGGAGCCAGCAGAGGGGCCGGGGTGGGGGTGGAAGCTGTGGGTAGTTTTCTTACGATAGCATCAGCTTTCCCTTGAAATGGGAACTAAGATTTTCAGCTGAGCACGTCTTTACCAATAACAGCCTGTTTACACTTGAGCCCAAATGATGCTCAGAGAGGTTAAGCAGTTTGACTAAGGTCTTACAGCTTTGTGGGAGTGAGATAGCTCCAGGGGAGTCTCATTATTACTTGGGCTGTCAGCACCGGGTGTGATGATGCACGCCTGTAACCCCAGCACTCGGGAGGCTGAGATAAGAGGACTGAGAGTTCAGAGCCAGCCTGGGCTACATTGTGAGTTCAAGGTGAACCTGGGGTACATACCAGGTACCCTGTCTCACTAAATAGAGAGGAGAGAGAGACACGGAGGGAGAGAGAGAGGAAAGGGGAGGGGAGGAGAGAACTCTTGTGCTATACGCTAAGCATTCTGTACCATGCCTGGGAGGCTCAGTAGTTGGTTGACAGAAGACAGTGGAAGGTCCCTTTTAACGCCACAGGGGTCTGGAAGCCCCTGATCTGCGCTACCAGTGATTAGGTGATGGCACACTGGCTCCTAGGGAGGGTAGCTGGCGCAACAGGTGACCTAGGTGGAGGGTACCTTCCTGCCCTCTGGCCAGGCACACCTGGGACAGCCTTGGAGGTAGAGGCCATTAACCTGGCTCATAAACCCTTCTCTCCCCCAGTGCACCGGCTGCTGACGCACGCCCTGGGCCACACGGCACTGCCAGGCCTGCTCCTGAGCCTGTTCCTGTTGCCCACTCTCGGCTGGCGGCAAGAGTGTCGCCTGGGCACGCTGCGTTTCCTGCACGCCTCCGCCCTGCTCTCCCTGGCTGCCGGGCTGCTGGCTGTACTGCTGGCAGGCCTGGGGGTGTCCAGGGCAGCCGGTGGCTGCGGATACATGCCTGTCCATCTGGCCATGCTGGCAGGGCAGGGCCACTGCCCCAGATGGCCCCAAGGGACACTGCCACCATGGCTATGGCCCTGGCTGCTGCTTGCCCTCACCCCTCTGCTCAGCTCTGAGCCGCCCTTTCTGCAACTCCTTTGTGGCCTGCTTGCTGGCCTAGCCTGTATCCTTTGCCTGAGCCCAGGGCACCTGTGGACCTGTGGATGGGCTTCCTGGACGCCTGGGAAAGAAGTGACCCAGGCAGGTCAGGCCCAAGCAACACCAAGGGACTATGTACACGGGTTCCAAGAGCATCGTTCTGGGCTGGGGGCAGGGCTCATGACCAGGAAAAGTGCCAGTTAATGATCCCAAGCAACCCATGGGGCTATGTGGGAGACAGAGATCGAAGGATCTCAGTTCAAGGCTAATCCCATCTCAAAAACAAGTCGAAGCGGGGGCTGGTGGCTCACACCTGTAATCCTAGCTACTTGGGAAGCTGAGATGGGGAGGATCGTGGTCTGAGGCCAGCCTGGGCAAATAGTTGGTGAGACCCTATCTCCAAAATAACCAGAATAAAATGGACTGGAGGAGTGGCTCAAGCAGTAGAGCACCTGCTTTGTAAGCGCGAAGTCCTGAGTTCAAACCCCAGTCTCACCAAAAAAAAAAATCGGGTGTGATGGCACATCTGTGGTCCCAGCTACTCAGGAGGCAGAGGTAGGAGGAGCAAGGAGGTCTGAGGCTGACCCCAAGCAAAATGCACAATATCCTATAGAAAAATAACTAAAAGCAAACAGGCTGGGAGTGTGTGTGGCTTAAATAGGCCCTGAGTTCAAAACCCCAGTGCTGCCAAGAAAATAAAAAGAACCTTATAGGACCTCTGGAAGAGCTGAGGTGGGCCAAGGGTTGAAGTGAAGTGAAAACCGGTAGCAGGGGTGGGAGTGAGGCTGGGGCAGCCTGGGGCCTGTGGTGCAGGTGTCCTAAACACGGGCCTTTGCTTCAAAGATGCTTAATGTCTGGGGGGACAACTGCCACTGGAGGGAACAGGCTGATCCCTCCAGCCTGTCTGATTGTGGACACTGGCTGCCCAGGCCTGGCTGAAGGAAGGAGGGGGTAACAGGACTTTTCCTGGGAGTCACAGAGCATGGGACCCTGGGAACAGGCAAGGAAGAGCCAGGTTTTGGGGGAGGTACATTTGCTATTCCCCTGTGACCAAGTAGCTTTAGCAAGTCTCTTCTCTGCGCCTGGGGTGGTGACTCGGATGATGACATATTCCTGGAGGGCTGCAGTGAGGGAGACGAGGGAATGCTGGACACACACTTGCATGGGGCCTGGTATGCAGTTGGTTTTGGTTTTCCTTGACCAGCTGCCCTGCCCTGGGCAGACAGACTCTGCTGGGGCCTTCCAGTGGCTGGAGCTGTCAGAGCAGCGGCTCCAGGTACTGCAGGAAGGCGTCTTGTGCAGGACACTGGCTGGATGTTGGCCACTGAGGCTCCTCCCCACCCCTGGCAGCCTGGCTGAGCTACCTGTCACCCATCCTGCTGGAGCCAGGTGAGGGTGACTCCGTGGCCCCAGTCCTGGTGGTAGAAACCTGGCGGTGGCTGGCATCCAGGCCCTCCTCTGTTTCTGTCCCTGCAGGCCTGCCAGCCGTGGACCTCCTTTCCCGGCCTCTCCTGGTCCCTGGTCCCACAGTGACAGCTCAGCTCAGCTCCCGCCAGGCCTGGGACCTGTGCAGCTAACCTGGGAGGGCTCCTCGGAGGCAGGCCTTAACTGGACCAGGTCCAGCTTCAGCCCAGGGACCCCGATGTGGGCAGCCCTGGACGAGCAGATGCTACAGGAAGGCATCCGGGCCTCACTCCTTGACGGGCCAACCCAGGGGTCCCAGAGCCCACTGTGGCTGCCCAAGTCCTCCGTCTCCTCTCTGCGGTAAAGCAGGTGGGTGGGGTGGCGTGGAGCATCCTGGTATTGGGGACAGGGTGGCCTGACACTCCCTCTTTGTCCACCCCATCTCACAGGCTGCAGCAGCTGGAGCGGATGGGCTTCCCCACAGAACAGGCCGTGGTGGCACTGGCAGCTGCAGGCCACGTGGAAGGTGCTGTGTCACTGCTGGTCGGAAAGCAGGTGGACACTGAAACCTTGGTGACTGAGGGCAGGGGGGGTCCTCCTGCCCACCCCAACGGCTCTGGGCCCCCCTAGCCCAGGTGGAGGGTGGAGGCACATGCCTGGCCTGAGGTCGGGGAGCCCGAGCCCCTGCTCTGTCTGCTGAGGGTACAGGACCTCTGGGGCAGGAGAGGCCTCCAGTGCATTGCTGTGGTTCTGTGGAGATTAAAAGTCAGAACTCCGGGGAGGCAGCAGTGGTGTTTGGCTCTTCCATGTTGGGATGGAGGGACGAATGAATGAATGAATGAATGAGCTCTGAGCGAATGGCCGGCCGAGGGAGAGCAGCTGGGTGGCTGTGGATCGGCTTCTGCCCCACACGGTGGAGCTCATGTCCTCCTGGATGGACTGGGCACCCCTTTGAGGAGCATCCTCCATTGCTCCTTTCCAGCTGGGGCTGTCCGGCCTGGGGCCTCAGGTTGCCCCCCAGACACAGAGACCAGGCTGGGTGGGATCAGGCAAGAGGACCTTTATTGTCCAGTACATGTCAACCTCCCACATCTGTCACAGGCACTTGGAGCAGGCAGCCCTTTCCTCTCCATGCCCCACCTCCACTTGGGACACTGGGGAGGGGCCGGGGGCTCAGGGTAGAACTGAAGCAAGGAGCCCCCCGACCATGCAGTCCAGTTAGGCAGCCTGGCCTTGGGGTGAGAACCCAGCACCAGAAGAGAAGGAGAGGAGACGTAGAGACACCCCCCGCCTGGGTTAGACTGGGGAGTGGGACAGAGATCGCCACCCCCCCCCAACATCCTGCACGACTGAGGCCAGGCAGACGGAATGCCAGCTTCGGACTGCCGACAGCTGAGGAGGTGAGATGCCTCAAACTTCCATGTCCTCCTTGAAGGTCTGCTGCACCCCATTTCACAGAGGGAAACTGAGGCCCAAGCCCCTGAATGAGGCCTTACCCCTGTTTGGTCTCAGACAATTGCCAGGACCAAGAATGGCTTACCCCGAAGTCCTAGATGGCAGAAGGGACCCTGAGGACATTAATAAATAGGAGCTGACAGTCCCTGGAGGCAGCTGGGTAAGTCCAGGCGAGCAGGGAAGGAAGCCTGGTGCAGCAGCCCACCCCGGCCTGGGGACACCGCCACCTTCATCCTCTGCCGTTGCGGCTCCTGGGTACCACGATGCGGTAGTTGGCTGCATGTTCTCCCCTCTTTCCCCGAAGGAGGCTGGGGGCACCCATGTCGCCAGGGCCTGCCCCGGACCCTGGTTCTGGTTCTGCCGGAGGGAATGAGGAGAGAGGCTGTGTTAGGGGGTCCAGTGGGGTGCCCACCTCCCCCTGGCCCTCTGTGAGGTGGTGGGGGGATCGGGCACACTGTGTCCGCAATTGGGACACTGGGAAAGAGGCCATCTGCAGGCTGCTCAGCCCCATGACAGCACTTGGGGCTGTGTGATTCCTGCTCTGTCGGGGGGAACCAGCCCCCTGGGTTTTCAGGATGCTCAGCAGACAGCAAACGTGCCATGAAATCTGGAGTTTTTTTTTTAAATGCTCTTTTGAAGTGACGGTATAACCCCGAATCCTCAATTTTGTAGTTGGGTAAACTGAGCCTAGGGAAGAGACTGTATCCCTCTTTCCTTGGCCTGGGCCATCAGTTGGGGGAAGGGCCTAGGAGGGCCAGACTCTGCCCTTGACTTGTGTAGCCTCAAGCAAGGTGAGCCAGTGTCAGTGGTGGGCCCTCAATTGTCTGATCCTAAAAACGGCCATTTCCAGTGGGACTCTGAGGGCCCAGGAAGCACCAACAATGACTGGTCAGTGCCAAGGGGGCTGTGGTGAGCTACGCGCCACCCTGGACACAAGCTATACCTGGGGAGTGAAACTGAATTGGCATTCTTGTCGTCTTCAAAACCTAGTTCCTAGACGAGGAACTGCCTCCTCCAAGAAGCCTTCTGTGACTGACTATTCCCTAAGTTGAACGAGCAGGTCAAAATAGGTTGTTTTCCTAGGGGGGAGAGGAATGCTCGGGAAGGAATGCCCCAGAATGGGAGACCTGGCTGAGCCTACAGAGCCCCATTTTTAGGACAGAACTTGGACTCTCATGAGCGCCAGCTGCCCACTGAGGACGTGGCCAGGGAGTGGGCTGTACCCGTGTCATCCTAACTGCCCGCACCTGTGCACCTGCGGGCTGAGATCTAGGACCTGAGGCCAGACAGGCGTGTATGGTCACTGTCATACTGACGTTCCACACCCGATGTCAGGCAGCACAGGAGAAAGGTGGCCCAGGGCCTTGGTTCTAGCACCAGTTGTGGTTAACTCCTGGCCCCACTGTGCCCAGCGAGGGGCCAGACCTCTGAGCCTCATCTGGAATGCTGAGATAACACTCCTGTCATGGTCGTCACACCCCTGCCATAAATGAGTTTAGCAAGACCAGTGACAGAAGGCGTTTTTCGCAGTAAATGTTAGTGTGGCTTTGACCCAGGTCTCCTGAAGGGCTGGTCACAACATGATCGAATTTGGGGCCCTGGGATCCCCCTGGGCCCCCTGAGTGCAGAAGCAGGTGGAGACAGACCTGGGAGTTGACCCAGAGGGACTCACTCGAGCCCGAGCCTCTGTTTTCTCATCTGTGAAATGGGCATTGCCCATCTGGCAAGCTTACTGTCAGGACTGCAGGCGATTGGTGTCAACCCAGGTGGCCCAGAGAGGTGGCAGCTGTCAGCATCATTACTAGTTACAACCCAAACATGAACACCTGCTGTGTGACTCAGTCCAGTGAGGAGGAGGCCATTTTTTTGTGTGTGCTGGAGACCCCAAGCCCCCGTGGGTCCTGTCTTTCTGTTCCCTTCCTCCTGAACTTCGCCCTCCAGGCCCAACCCAAGTTGGACTCCTGACCACTGATGGGTCATGGGCTTCTCCAGGTGTCTGGTACTTCCTCCCTATCAGGTAAACGCAGCTGAGGACAGGCAGTGTCAGCCGAAGGGCCACAGTAGCCCAGCCGGTTCCTAACTTCTGTCCTAATACTCTTACAGAGGAGGCTGGAGACACCTAAAGAAGGTGGGATTGGGTCCTTTGTGCCCAAGGGTCCTCCAGTCTGGCTGTGAGGGGCAGGTGCCAACTGGCTTCAGGGCAGGAGCCTGGATGAGTCTCCACTGAGACCTTGTCTCCCTTCCTAGGGTGAGGACAGGGCTTGCCTGGCTCCTCAAGTGAGCAGATGGGTGGGGAAGGAGGTCTGGGAGATGGTCCCTGGTAGCTGGAGGAAGGGGCTCTGCAAACAGACCACACACCCTTTCAGGACCCTTGTCAGGCTGCCCTCCTCCTCTGCCTGGCACACCAGGAATCTCTTCCTGACCCATCACGAGTGTGTCCTGTTCCACGAAGTCTCCCACCTCCTACAAGAAGTGACCTCCTTGGGGACTTCCACCCCACAACCCTACAGATACTCCCTCCCTGCTCTGGTGGACCCCAGAGCTGCAATCAGCAGGTGCTACTGCAGTTTTGCTGAACAAAGGAGGCTTGGCTGTAACCTTGACCTTCCTTCCCCAGTCACCCCTTATGCAAAACAAAGGTGAGGCTGGAAATGATACTGAGGCTGTGTGCCCATGTGCTCATGGGCTGAAGAACAGGGTGGCTGCAGCTGGCGAAGGACAGCCAGGTGAAAACGGAGCCCAATCCCTTCCCCCAGCGACAGCTATAGGCTCTGTTTGAAGGGCAAAGACTTCCTTAGCCTCATATCCAGGATCCAAGTACTAGGGTTCTGCCCATCTGGACCCTAACCACCTCCTATGCCATCCTCTCTGGGTTCTGCTCTTCCTCTGCCTGTTCACGCTCCCCTGATCCAATCTCTATCACCTCCAGGAAGCCCTCCAATTAGACACCCCCCTACCTCCATCCTAGCTCTCACTGCCAGTGCCAGGGCTCACTTCAGCGCCACTCCTGCCCACCCCAGCCTCTTAAGCTACACGAGGGCAGGGGTATGTCTGTTTGGCAGTGGTGGAAGGACAAAGTGCCTGCTGGCCCAGGCTAAGCATTAGCAGGCACCTTATGCACGCCCCTGCCCTTCCCAGGCCCCCTGGAAGGGGCTGCCCCTGCCTGCCCGCCCTGCCGTTACCTGGCCAAATGATGGCTTCCAGCAGGCTGACCCGTCTGGCCAGGAGCTCCAGCTGAGCCTGCTGCTGCAGGAAGCTCTGTAAGCTAGGAGGCTGATGGGAGATCCAGAAGAGCAGACGGTGCGAGTCTGGCCTCCGAGGGTTGGGCCAGGAGTCCAGGGGGTGGGGGCATGTGCCTGGGGACTTCAGGACAGGAGCCTGGGTGTATCTCCATTGAGACCTCAGTCTCCCCACCTAAGTTACGGGGGGCTTGCCTGGCTCCTCAAGTGACCAGAAGGGTGGGGGGATTACAGGGTGGATGCCAGGGGTGAGGGCTCCCTGAAAGGGAACCAAGGAACAGAGGAGAATGAAGGTGGGACCTACAGAAGGGACATGTACGGCCAAGAGGGCTGGTCCTGTGAGGGCATCTAGAGGGCTCTGGGGCAGGAGGGTCAGAACAGGTAGGTGACGTATTATCCAGAATCCCCTGGGGCCCAAGCCTGCCTCTGGAGTCTAGCTCCAGGACCTGTTGTCCTGTGGGTCTGGGGACCGGGTCACTGAAGCCTGAGTAGAGTCAATCCGTTAGCCCAGGCTCTGACTGTAGTATCCATGATCCCCTGCACTGCTGGAGTCTGGCCCTGTTACCCACAATCCCTTGCTGATCTGGCATTCGGTCCTATCGCACATTCTTCCAGACTGGTTCCCTGCAGGCCTGGAAACCACATTACCCACAATGCCCAGACACCCAGCCCTCGGCCCAGGGTTTCCAGGGCCCTCCTTGTGTGTGGAGGAGGGACCTGTCAATGAGAAATGGTGGTCTTGGCCTCTGACAGGCACCTTTTCCAGCCTCGTGACCTTGAACTGACTCAAGCCAGTTCTACCCCATGAGGGCTTGGGGGAAGGCTGGCAGGCAGGGGCTGGGCTGTCTGTCCGTCTGTCTCTACTCACCATAGAGCCCAATCATTGTTTCCAAGATTAAAACCCTCTCAGCTAAAATCTTCAAAGCCTCGCGTAGTTGGTGCAACCCCTCCCCCTGTGGAGGAAAGAGACAGATGCAGCCGTGACGGGGCCAGGGGCGCCCTGTCCCATGGGACACACACCTACAGCGCTGCGTTACCTGCCATAGCCCAGGGCCCAGGGAAAAGCCAAACAAGACCAGGGAAAGAACGGGAGGGGACACACATGGCGGGCAGAAGCAACCCCTAAGACCCTCCGGCTCCCCAGTCCCATTTGACCCCAGCTAGCCACAAATCATGCTAGTCTGGAGGCAGGGGATGCCAATAACGGGCACAGTCACTGCCCCAGAAGCTGCCTCGGAGCCTCTAATCTCTGCTGCCAACCCGAGCTGCTCTGGCATGACCTGAAACATCCCTGGGTCACCTACACTTTGGTTTACTCCTACTGTTTAAATTGCTTTTTTGTTGTTTTTCGGGTGTGTGTATGCTGCGCTGGGGTTTGAACTCAGGGCCTCACACTTGCAAGGCAGGTGCTCTACTGCTTGAGCCACTCTGCCAGCCCTTTTTTGTGATGGTTTTTTTCAAGAACTATTTGCCATGGGCTGGCTTCGAACCTCGATCCTCCTGATCGCTCCTCCCAAGTAGGTAGGATTACAGGTGGTGAACCACCAGGCTAGTTGCTGACACTTTCACTCTGTAAGTGAGTAAAAACAGAAAACGCTGGAGTGGCATGGTTGTTGCTTTCAATGCAAACTTGAGGCTCTGGCCTTGCCCAGAAAACAGCTGTCATCCCCACCAGGGCTCTGGCAACGCCAGGCCCATCTTCTGACATGTCTTGGGCACCAAGACTGTAGCCCAGTCGTCTCCTCTAAGCAACACTCATCTGCACGTCTCCCAGAGCATCTCAGCTGCTGCCCAGGGCTCAGGCCGTCCCCTTGACTTCCTCCCAATCTGCCCGTCCTTTCCCCAACACAGGATCCTTAGTTTCACCAAGGCTCCACACCCTCCCCTTCCTCTTTTCTAATCCAGACCATAGCTGCTTCCGGAATGTAGGTACCTCAGTTTCAACAGAGTACCAGGACACAGCTAGGACCACACCAGCCCTGACAGCATCCAGAAGTCTCTTTCAGCATCCTGTACTCAGTACATGTCCAGTGAAGGGATGAGTAAATGCATATTTATACAATTACAATCCAATTTAAGGCAGTCGCTTCCCATAAACACATCTACGGAGAGCTGGGGGTGGCAGAGAACTTCTGTAATCCCAGCATTCTGGAGGCTGAGACAGGAGGATCACACATTCAAGACCAGTCTGGTCTACCCAGTGAAACCCTGTCTCAAAAACTCCAAAACCATGGGAGGCAGAGATTGGGAGGATCGGGCTTCAAGGCCAACCCCAGGTAAAAGGTCTGTGAGACCCCATCTCAACCAATAAGTTGGGTGTAGTGGTGCATACCTGTCATTGCAGCTACTTGGAAAACGTAAGTAGGAGGACTGCAGTCCAGGCCAGTCTGTGCACCAAGTGAGACTCTATCTCAAAAATTACAAAAGCATAAATGCTGGGGGAGTGGCTTAAGTGGCAGAGTGCCTGCCTAGTGAGCACAAGGCCGAGTTCAAATCCCAGTACAGCAAAAACAACAACAACAAAACCCCACCGAAACAAAGAACCTCTAAGCAACCAAACAGCCTCCCAGCAGGTCCAGGATGAGAGTGGTCACTCCCTGGGGCTGTCCCGCACCATCCAGCCATCTGTCACTATTAAAAGATAGGGCCACCCTCGGGCCACTAAAACACCATTGCAGCCTGAGGGTCCCAGGGTCGCTGTGGCCCCGTGCCAAAGTAATCCCTTTTCAAGTATCATGGGACCAGGAACTAAAAACTGATGATGTTCAAAAATTCCTTTTAGCCATTCCCAGCCCGAAGAGCAGGGGCAAGCTGACGTCATGGGCTTCCTGATGAGGTGTATTCAAAAGGTACCAAGTCCCCTGCTAGTGTTTGGGCCAAGAGTGACCTCACTGTGAACCAGACAGGGGCTGGTGGAGTGGCTCAAGCGGTAGAGAGCGCGCTTAGCAGGAGAGAGGCCCTGAATTCAAATCCCCAGTACCACAGGAAAAAAAAAAAAAAAGCTCAGGTGAAAATGTGTTTTAGCTGGGCACCATGGCTCACGCTTGTAATCCTGGCTACATAGGAGGCAGAGTTTAGAAGGAAGAATTGTCATGGTTTGAGACCAGCCTGGGCAAAAAGTCCCTGAGACCCCCCCATCTCAACCAATAAAAGCTGTGTGTCATTCTCATGCTTGGTCTAGAGACAACCTGCTTTCAGTCTATTGAAAGAGGATTCCTTTCTAATAAACTTTATCACTTTCACTGAAAAACACACAGAAACAAAACTGGGAACGGTGACACACACCTGTAGCCCAGCTACTTGGGACGATCGCTGTCCAGACCTGACCTGGGCATAGATGTGAGACCCTATCTCAAAACATGACCAGGTGCCGGAGGCTTACATCTGTAATCCCAGCCACTCAGGAGGCAGACATCAGGAGGATCGCTGTTCAAAGCCAGCCAGGGTCTCAAGACCCTATCTTAAAAATACCCAACACAAAAAAGGGCTGGTGGAGTGGCTCAGTTGGTAGAGCACCTGCTTAAGCAAGCATGAGGCCCTGAGTTCAAACCCCAAGGCCACCAAAAAAATAAAAACAACAACAAAAACAAAGTCAAAATAGTTGGGGACATGGCTCAAGTGAAGAGCACCTGCCTAGCAAGCACAAGGCCCTGAATTTAAAACCCAGTATCTAAATAAATAAAAAAGAATTTTTGAAGTCATTTTGTGAACATCTGATAAAACTGACAACGTAAGTTCCTCACTAGGTAGCTTCATTTTACTGAATTAATGTCAGCTTTCTTAGCTGTGACAGTGGCATTGTGGTTCTTTGGGACAATAACAGTATTCTTTTTTTTGTGTGTGTGACAGGGTCTCCTTAGGTAGCCCAGCACAGCCTCAAACTTGAGATCCTCCTGCCTCAGCCTGCTGAGCCCACTGTGACCTCCCTAGGATGGAGAATGTCTGCATGGTACCTCTGTCCCCAGGCCTGGCACCCACAGAGAAGATACTGGGGGGGTTCTTCTGGCCCCTCTGGAACTGAAAAGGCTAGACTCCAGTTTCAGCTCTGCCACGGCTTTGCTCAGTTTCCCTGTCTGCGTGAAGGCTTCTATCTAGACGGAGTGGCTCATGCCTCACTCGGGTCCTGCCGTATGCATGTATGACCACTGGGTGTCACTGCTGAGCCACAGGCAAGCCAGGCCAGGACATCTCAAAGATGCACCAATGGGCTCTGGTAAGTAGAGTGTGAACAGGGATTTGCAGGCCCCAAAGCCTCATGCAACCCCAGCCCAGATCCCTCCCAGGCAGGCAGCAAGCAGGGGGCAGAAGTACAGGGGGACAAGGGAAAGATGGACTGGTGGGGACCCAGCTACCTCTTGGTGGAGAGGGTCCTCCTACAGGTAGTCCTGAGTTCGAGGCTAGTCTGGAAAGCATCTGCTGGGGCTCCCCATGCAGGGATGGGACTGCAAGCCTGATTCTGCTGTCATCTCACCCCTCTCACCTCTCCTGGGCTGGGTGGAAAACCTGTCCCCAAGCTTAGGGCCTCAGAGAGGCAGGGGTGGCTCACATGTGTCTACCTGACCTCTGGCTCGGCACACGCCCACACTACCAGGATTCTTAAGAGGCCCTGGGACCATGGATGGGGACCTGGGGTAGGTTGGCTAGAGATAAGGCAGCAGCTGGGAGAGGTAGCAGGGCCCCGGAAGACATGGGCGACACAGAGAGGACTCGTGCAGGGTAGGGGGGCTCCCACGGCTGTATCCATCACTGACCCCACAATCTAGGACCGAGCGCAGGGCAGGGGCTGGGGTTGTGCACAGCCTCACTAACTAGTGGCTTCTAAGAAGTAGGACGTCCCAGCCAGACTGCAGGGGATGACGGGGAGGCAGAGGGAAGGGAGAGCTGGTGCCACCCTCCGAAAGACTGGCCCCACTGTCTCTCCTATAGGAGTGTCTGCCCCCACCTTGACTATTTTCCCAACATCTCCTACATCAGCGATGGTTTCCAGGGCCCCACATTGTGACACCTTGAGGCATGGCACACTCCAGGCTTCTGGCCCCTCCCTCATACGCATCTTGCGGGAGGAGATTTCTAGCTCTTGAAATTTGTTCTCTGCAATGACCCCCAATGACTGTGGCGGTTTCTGAGACTCCATATGAATGACGACTGTATGGTTTCCAGGCTCCCCTGCTCATGCCTCCTCTCTCTGCTGTGGTTGTGACATTTTCTAGGCTTCCCTTCCTACTCTTCAGGTTTTCCTTTGCACACAGTGGTGGCTCCCCTCTGCAAGTGACAGTTTCTTCTAGGCTTCCCTTGCCATTCCTCATGGGTTTCCTATTTGCAGGTGTTTGGGGTATAGTGGAGTTAGGGCTCCTGACCTCATTCACCACATCAAATGATGGTTTCAAGGCTTCTCTTCCCAGGTTTCCTGGATATTCTATGTGTGTGGTAGTTTCTAGGTCCTCCATCCCTTTCACCATGGGGCCTTCAACTACCTCACTGTCTCTAGGCCTCCCTTCCTATGCTTCATGGCTTTCTTAAGGCCCCTCCCTTAAGGGAGGCTGTCTTCCTGCCTCCCTTTCTTCTGCAGACGGGGAGCAGAGGCCACAGTTCTTGCTGGGAGAGGACTATGGCAGCTGGGAGTGAGGAATGCAGTGTGATCTGGGTCACCCAACCACCCTCCCCCTGCCCCCCAGCAGGAATGGGTAGAGCCACCCTGGCCTGAAAAGGCCACAGAGGGGAGGTGGAGTCAGGGACAAAGATAGAGACAGGAGACGGTGGGGTCTGCTGATAGGGCTGCCCCTGCCCAGGGTGGGTGACAGGATGGGAAAGGGCTGTGACTGAAAACTGAGGCAGGCTCCTGCCTAGGAGACCAGGCTGTAGTGGGGCTGAGGTGGGGGCGCCCCCCCCCCCAGAAGGCCAGTGAATTGTCTCCTGAGCAGGGGAGGCCAGGGCTGGACCAGAGCTTACCCAGTGGCTCTTCTCACCAGGCTCTCCCTTGGGGCCAGGGTCTCCCTGCAAGGAGAATGAGAGAGAGAGGAAGTAAGGGAGGGAAGGAGAGAGAGGAGAGAGGGAGGGGAGGGGGAGGAGGGAAGACAGAGGGAGAAAGACTTGGAGAAACACAGACAATGGGCTCTGTGGTAGAGCACCTGCCGCCTTGCACACCTGTGGCCCTGGGTTCTATCCCCAGCACTGGGAAGAGAGAGAGAGGGAGAAAGAGAGAGAGAGAGAGAGGGAGAAAGAGAGAGAGAGAGAAGGAGAGAGACAGAGAGACACCTACAGAGAGAAGATTATATTAGACTAACATTGCAAAAGTAAAGTAAAACAAAACAAGCTATTCAAAACAATGGAAAATGACAGAGACCACCTAGAAACTAGAGACCACCCAGCTGGAGGTAGAGACCACCCTGGGCAGAATCCACACATCACTCTCTCTCCTCCTGGGGTCCAGCCTCAAGCAGCCATTTTCAGTTTTATTGACCTGAGGAGTCAGAGGTTGGGGTCGAGCCTCTCAGAGAAGCAGGAAATTGAGGGGAGAATCCTGGAAGTAAGGGGGGGAAGGGCAAAAGAAAGGGGACAAAATCTTCCTAAATGCTCCACTCTGATTCTTAGCTAATCCCACAGCTGCCTATCCCACAGGGCAAAACGTCAAGGAGCCGGGGGGGGGGAGAAACAACTGAGCACAGACTTCAGTCTTTTCCCATCACATAAGACACAGAGTTTGGAACACTTGAGCTTTGCTAACGAAACTCCAGAAAGGTCACACATTAGGAATAAAGACTGATACCAAGAGTAGGGAATTTTCCTGCGACCAAGGGCAAAACAAAATGAACTTTCTCTGATAAAACCTAAAACCAAGACTCCAAAAGAGCAAGGTGATCCGTTAGGGATTTAATTGTGCTGGAACAAAACTCAACACTTTTCACTGGAAGATAGCAGAATTCAGAGCATTGTGTGGTCCAGTCTGCAATAAAAAGTAAGCAAACATGAAAGAAACAGGAAAATGTGACCCATATTTATGAGAAAAACCAGTCACAGATCCATACTCAGATGTTGTCGCAGACAGGAAAGTGCAAAATATCTCTGATAAATGTGTGAAAGAATCTGTTGAGATGGAACTCCTGGAATAATTTACTTTAGATGTAATAACAGAAGAAAGAATAGTCAATCACTTTGAAAACAGGCCAATGGACTGTTAAAAGTGAAGCCCAAATTGAAAAAGGATTTAAAACAAATTGGGCCAGGGGTGCAGCTGAGGGATCCAATGTGTGCTTAGCATGCCTGAGGCCCTGGGTTCAATCCCCACCAGCACATAAAATTAGAGTTCCAAGCTGGGCGCCGGTGGCCCATGCCTGTACTCCTAGCTACTTGGGAGGCAGAGATCAGGAGGAGCAAGGTTTAAGGCCAGCCCTGGGGAAATAGCTCTTGAGACCCTATCTTGAAAAAAAAAAATCCCAAAAAAGGGCTCAAGTGGTAGAGAGCCTGCCTAGCAAGTGTGAGGCCCTGAGTTCAAACTGTAGGACTGCCAAAATGGCAACAACAAAAGACCCCAGTATAGCCAAAAAAAACGCCCCCAAAAACCAAAAAGTAGAGATCCAGAAGCAGAGAGAGTAGGAACAGAAAGTTTTTTTTCTGTGACTGGCAGAATGGCTCAAGTTGTAGAGTGTCAGCCTAGTGAGTGTGAGGCCCTGAGTTCAAACCCCAGGACCACCAAAAAAAAAAAAAAAAAAGAAAGTTTTTTCTATTGACCTTCTTTTTTTGTTTTTTTCCAAATTTGATTTAGAAGCAAAATAAATCAAAACAGACTTCTAGGCCCTAAGTCAAGCATGTGAGATTAGTAGTTGTCACTTCATCCTTTCAAGTGAAGAACAGAAAAATCAACAACTCTTTTTAGGTCGGAGACCATAGGACAACCACTGTCCCCAAACCCAGGGAGACAGACAGGAAATAGGAGAACCCCAATTTACTGAAGCAAAACCTCCACTGGAACTAGTGCCAGGCAGCTCTGCGGACAAATCTGAAAGGTGAACACTCAGGGAGGGGAGCAGACATAGTCCCCTGCCAACTTTTGTGAGTTTTATCTCAAGAATTTCTGCCTGGTCCTTACAGTGAATATCAGTGAAAAGTCACTTCCAGCAGGTGGGGGACAAAAGGAAATATCTTGAAATATGCCAGAACATTCTACGTTTTTTTTTTTTTTTTGGCAGCACCGGAGTTTGAACTCAGGGCCTCACATTTGCCAGGCAGGTGCTCTACCACTTGGGTCACTCCACCAGCCCTCTTTTGTAGGTTTTTTTTGAGATAGGGTCTTGAGAATTATTTGCCCATGGCTGGCTCTGAACCACCATCCTCCTGATCTCTGCCTCCTGAGTAGCTGGGATTACAGGCGGGAGCCACCGCACCTGGCTCAGACCATTTTATTCTTTATAGGGCCTGCTCTCAGGACAAACTACTTTACCCAAGCCTAACCCGATGTTGTTTCATTAGAGCTTAACCACTCCTGGGGGAGGGATACTATGAGATTCCAGCTTCTTCTAGCTTTCCACGTGGGGAAAAGGAAATACCCAGCTCTACCCACCCTAGCCATCTTACAGGGGCAAAAACAAAACACACACACACACACACACACACATAAAACGCCTAAAACAACAACCTTGAGAAGTTTTGGGAAGTTACCATTCAGGAATGGCTGACAGACACAGATGTAATGGCAGGACTAGAGAACACTTCCCTTCCCCTGCACCTTCCCCTACGTCCCTAAAGCCTAGTCATCACAGTTTCTTTAATCTTTTCACCCAAAAGTTACAAGGCATACTAAAAGGTAAACACAGTTGGAAGAGAGTAAACAAAAATTCGAATCAGACCCAGATGTGGCAGAAATTTTAGAACTATCAGACTAGGAAAAAATATATATACATATTTTTTGGTAGGACTGGGGTTTGAATTCAGGGCTTTGCACTTGCAAAGCCGGCCCTCTACCACTTGAGCCACTCCTCCAGTCCATTTTGCTCTGTTTGTTTTGGAGATGGGGGTCTAGTGAACTGTTTGCCTGGGCAAATCTTCCTGATCTCAATCTTCCTGATCTCAGCCTCCCAAGTAGCCAGAAGTCCAGGGACTTAAAGGAACAAGTAGACAATATACAGGAAGGGATGGTGTGTAAGCAGAGAGATGGAAATTCTAAGACAGCATAAAAGAGAAGTGTGGGGATAAGAAAAGGAAGAATCCCTCCAATGGACTTATCAGTAGATGGGACAGGGATGAAGAGAGGGTTTCCAAGCTTGAGATGACAATAGACACTTCTGAAACTGAAACTAAAAGAGAAAAAAAAAGAACACAAAAACTTGATCGGAATATTCAAGGACTGTGAGACAACTACATAATGGGGTTCCAGGAGGAGGAGACAGAGAAATATAAGCAATGTGTGAAGTGATAATGACACAGAATTTTCCCCAGTAATATCAGAGACCAAACCACAGATCTGAGAAGCAAAAGGAACACCAAAGAAGATAGGAAGGAAGAAAGAAGGGGGGGAGGAAGAGAGGAAGGAAGGAAGGAAGGAAAAACAAATCCAGGCTGGCTGGCTCACACCTGTATTCCTGCCTATTTGGGAGGTTGAGATCTGGAGGATCATGGTTCAAGGTCAGCCTGGGCAAATAGTTCTCGAGACCCCATCTTCAAAATAACCGCACAAACTGGACTGGAGGTGTGGCTCAAGTGATAGAGCACCTGCTTTGCAAGTGCAAGCCTGAGTTCAAGCCCCAATCCTATGGGGGGGGGGAAAAAAAGGACCATCTATTAAAAAAAGCTACTAGTGACACCATAGTTAATGGTGAGCAACTCAAAGCTTCCCTGTTAAGTACTGCATTTCAACACAGTACTAAAGTACTGTGCAATAAAACAAGAAAAGGAAATAAAAAGTATAAGACTCAAGAAGGAGGAAATAAAATTGTTTTTGTTTGTAAATAACATGATCTATGTAGATCTATGTAGAAAAGCCTGTGTGGACTGACAAAGAAAAGTGCTGGAACTAACAAGATATCATCACAAGTGTGCAGAATCCAGGTTAAAATACAGAAGTCAGTTGTTCCTCTGTATACTAGCCATGAACAAGCAGAACTTGAAATCAAAAATACTTTACTATTTACATTACCACTGCCCCAGATGAAATACTTAGGTAGTAGAAATTAACAAAATAAGGGTAGAGGCATGACTCAAGTGGTAGAGCACTTGCCTATCAATCTCGAGTTCTTGAGTTCAAACCCCCCAAAAAAATAAACCCCAAAATAAATAATATGTGAAAGGTATATGAAGAAAGCCACAAAACTGTGATGAAAGATATCAAAGTACCAAATGGCTGGGCGTGGTGGTTGTGGACACCTGTAATCCCAGCTTACTCGGGTCATAAATTCAAGGTGAGCCTAGTGAGACACTGTCTCAAAATAAAATAAAAATTTTTGAATTTATGACCCAGCTTACTCGGGTCATAAATTCAAGGTGAGCCTAGTGAGACACTGTCTCAAAATAAAATAAAAAGGCCTGGGATGAGGGCTGGTGGAGTGGCTCAAGTGGCAGAGCCCCTGCCTGGCAAGTGTGAGGCCCTGAGTTCAAACCCAGTACTGCCAAAAAAAAGAAAGAGTAAGGGCTGGGATGTAACTCAGTGGTAGAACACTTGTCTAGCACATGTGAGGCCCTGGATTCAATCCCCCAGCTCACCAAAAAAATTAAATAAATAAAATACTAAAAAGGGGAGGGATAACCCATGTTCACAGACAGATTGACTTGATATTGTCACGATGCCAGTTCTTGCAACCTGACCTACAGCTTCAATGCAATCCCAATCCAAATGCCAACAATTTACTATGTGATCTCCACGAACTGATTATAAAGTTTGCAAAGAGAAGGGAAAAGACCCAGAATCTCCCACTCAATAGTGAAGGAGAACACACCTGTAGGACTAAGGCTAGCCAACTTCAAGACTTAGTACCAAGCTGTCCTAATCAAGATAGCCAGGCACT